CTGTATCCAGCAGTGCTTACTAGAGAAATAGATTTAATACAATATATACAAATTTGTAAGAATTTACAAGATTGGTTTAAAGTGACCACCTACAGAGTCAGGTGTGGAAGAGGGCAAAAGGTCTGTCTGTACACTGGAGAGCTGAAGGATCCAGTCAAAGTCTTGGAGCTTGTCATGATGTCTCACACAAGTCTGTATCAGGAGGCTGAAGGGTCTGTGATGGAAGTTAGGAGACAAGATCTAATGTAGGTTAAAGATTGGGGTTCTTCCAAAGAAACAGAAGTGAACCTGCCTTCCTTGTTTCTCTTTCATGCCATTTTTTGTGGAAAATCCATTAGCTGCTGTCATACCCAGTAAATCTTAGCAGATCTTCAGTGAATCCCCTCAGCTACACCAAGAACTATGATGATCCAATTTAGTTGAGTGTTTCTCACTCAAGTTGATACAACCAGTTAACTATAACAAAGTCCCACTTCTTAATGTTGCATAATTGGAATTGAATTTCAACATAATTCTTTTTTTTTTAAATTTTATTTTGAAAGTATACAACAGAACAAGACAGAATAAAGCCAAGTAAGATCACACAGTGAAATTGGTACAGAACTTCACAGCAGGTTACCGGGATAACAGTAATAGGTATCGCAGTATATTTTGTTATCTTCATAACAGTTGTTCTTTCAATCTCATATATCAAATTGAGATGAAATATAGACCACTATAGAATGTAGCAAAACAGAATATTGAATAGAGCAGTACCATTAATCAGAAAAGAGCAAAACGGCAATAAAAATATTTGCCTTCAAAGAGATGGTAGAAGGGAAGTTCCCCTTATTTGCTATGGTCAGCCTCCCAGGAGATGCTCAGATTTCTGGCTCCCATTTGCTAATGGGTGGCACAGCGGTGTGGGGGAGGGGTGTAGAGGAAGTGGGATATTTGACTCTAGGCCGTGCATCAATAGGTTCACTATTGCTTAGCAGGGAGGCAGGCTGGTTGTTTGGTGTCACAGTGTCCTAAGTTCCAATGTGGCGTGGATCTCAGGAGCTGCTGCTGGTTCTCCCCCTGGAAGAGCTGCAGTCTGCCACACTGCCACCGATTACCAGGGAGGGGAGGTGCTTGCTTGGCTTCCCAGTGTTGTAAGTTCCAACATCGTGTGGATCTCAGGAGCTGCTCTGGTTCTCCCCCTGGAAGGGCCGCAGTCTGCCACACTGCCACCGATTACCAGGGAGGGGAGGTGCTTGCTTGGCTTCCCAGTGTTGTAAGTTCCAACATCGTGTGGATCTCAGGAGCTGCTCTGGTTCTCCCCCTGGAAGGGCCGCAGTCTGCCACACTGCCACCGATTACCAGGGAGGGGAGGTACTTGCTTCTCAACATAATTCTTGATGGAGACACTCAAACCATAGCATAAAGTCAGTTGTGGGGCTAGATTGGGTCTGTTGTCTGTTTGCTCAGTGTAGGTAAATGTAGGGGGCATATTTCTTGGCTGATGCCCTAGAACTACACACCTGTAAGTCTGTTTTCCTTTTTTAGTCAACTTGCTTCATATGGTACCTGTCCACTCAATCTACCAGACAGTAGTTTCCAAACCTCACAGAGTTAAATAAATGCTTGGATAGCTTTAAAAACCTCACATTCTCAGACTCCAGCCACTGAATGTCTGCATCAGTAGATAAAGGAGATGTGACTGGCCATAGACTCTCACCTTCTGGCCCATGTTGTACCCATAATACTATTTAGTGATCACATTGCACCAGTCTATCCATGAAATCCCATGGCATGAGGCAACATTGAAAATAGCAACATTGAAAATAGCAGCAGGATAATGTGTACAGGTCAAGAGATAAAAGAGGTCATAGTCACAGCTAGAAACTAAATTGGAGACTAATTCTAAATACAGGCTAGGCAGGGGGCAGTAACACTGATTCTGTTCTTTCTCATCGTGTTATGTTCCAGACTAAGATCTAGTTTAAAATACTCTTTTTCATATTTGTTTTGCAATTCTGTGCATGCCCACCCTGTGTGTATTATAAGTTTTTTTTCTTTTCCCCCCTTTTTTTCAGTTTCTCATAGTGAAAGAGAAGGATACAGATTGTAGAGATATGGAGACCTGAGGCAAAATGTAAAGAGACATTAAAGAAAGATGTTTGAAGAGAAACAAGACAGAAAAAGCCCTGAATAGAGAACAAATGTTTTTTTCTTTCATATTGAGCACAATTGTGTGTCAATTTTCAAGTGAATGACTTTAGCTCTAAAGACTAATAGCATTGTCATCATAGATGATTTTTTATTAAAAATATTTCTTATATACAGAGTTCTTTGCTGTTTATTTTAAGTTAAGCCAGGGAAATTTTGAACAAGTCTCATGCATTCAACAAATATTAACCGTGAGGATGCCAGCCTCCTGGAGTTTACAGCCTGATAGGGAACAAGTAACCAGGCAGTGGTGACCCTAAGTGACAAATACTGTGAAGGGAGTTGTGGAGCACAGAGGTCGCCACCTCAAGAAGAACTTTGAGATGAAGTGAGGTCTAAAGCTGCATCCTTGGAAATGAAAAGTTGCCGACAAAGAGTGAGCAAAGCACTGGCTATGTCATGGCTTATGGAGGAGAAGGCATTGTGCTGTGTCGGGGAACTGAGAGTACGGCTTTTATAATTAGCCTTCTTTGGTTTCTTTCTATCACAGACCTCACACATTAGTGATATTATCATTCTCTTCCATCACAAACAAGAGCTTGCAAAAGCAGGCATGTAGGTAGAAAAGATTAAACAATGCAGATGTCAACCCTTAGAAAGCCTTTTGATAAAGTTGACCATGGTTGGCTTTTCACAACTTGATTGATTGGCAATTCCCAATAGTGATAGAAAATTTCTTCTCACTGGTAAAGGTGAGTTGCTATGTCTAGGTTATGCAAATAGGATGACTTATGCTGACAACCTACTTCGCTTCTGTGACCATGGAGCTTTGATAACATGCCAACCAGAAGCTGCCTATGTGACTTTGAGTCTCTTAAGAAGCTTTCCTAGCAGATACTTAGGAAATATTGCTGTGGTTTCATAGCTGGGGGAAGAGTATGCTCTATGTGACCCTTCATGAGAGGAAGAAAATATAAAAAGCCAACAGCTGGATTCCTCCAGACTCAGATTTCACCTATGTTTTGCCCATGAACCTCTGCATTTTCTTATTGCAACTCTGAGATAAATCTTAGCTACACACACAGTCATATGCCGAGACCGCGGTCTTCCAGTGGATCTTCTAACCTAGGGGAGTTCTTTGAGGATTTCCAGCGTGCATGAGTACCCACCAATCCTCACTGAATGAGCAAAAATTTGAACTGTCAAAATACAGAAGTACCAGTGTTATATTACACACGTAAATATATCTATGTGTTATGCACGTACATGTGTATGTGCATCAAACTATATGCGCACCTATATGGGCCAGTCAGAACTTTTTAAACCTGTGTTTCTCAAATTATCCAACTTGGTTTTGAATTCCTCTTTGACTTTCACCTTTAAATCCATCAGGTTTGAGGAGAGTGAAAAGGGGAAGCTACTGGCTCCAAGGCAATTTCTGAAGCTCTAGAAAAGATTTAAACAATGGCAAAAATTCTTGGAGTGCTTATAGCATTCCAAGAAAACTTTTTTCTTTTCTTTGTACATTAAGAGACACTTAACTTTGCAGATTCTGGCATGCTAAAAGCAGCCAGGTTACTGTAGTGCGGCACCACTTTGGTTACATTAAAAAATGCATTAGTACTTATGGAATAGTGGCCACAGACTGGACTCTTTCATATAATTTATATCGGGAAATTCTACTCCAGGCTTGCAGAGAGAGAATTTCTTTTTGAACATCTGAAAGACATTCCTGACCTTTCATTGAGTGTCAGATCGTGCCTGGGGAGCTTGTACCTGACCAGGAAACCTGCAGAGTTCTTTTGGCTTCCAAGACATGGATCTAATTTTAATTTGCAGCATGTGGAAACCTTCATCTTTCTTACTGCTTCATTCCTTGGGGTTCAGTCTTTTTTACTTGGCCCCTGACAGTGGGGCGATCCTGTTGAGCAGCCCTCCTCAGACAGGCCTCGGAGTTCCTTCCATTCCCTTTGTCTCTGCACTGAGAGAGAATTGTAAAATAACCGTGTGTTTACTGCTGCCTGCTTTCTGCTGAACCTTGAAAACTGCTACAGTAGCATTTTCTGTAACCTGGAAGTGGAGAATGTCACTTCTGCAGCATGGCTGGGCTTAATTTTAATCTTTATGTCTTGTTTAAGTGGAGAATTATAGTTCATAAATGAACTTCAAAGTAGAATGCCTCCAGAGTTGTTGGTGTACAATGTTACAGTGATTTCCCAGGGGTGTGCGGTTTCACAAGAGTAGCTTTCTTCGTGGATTATTTACATATTTCTACTTTTGTTTTAGTGTCTTCCCACCCTTTATTTTGCTATTTATTTATCCTGTTGTCAGTTACCCATATTTATTTTGGTACTTATTGCACTTACAGAAAAAAGCTTTCTATCTCTTCATAATCCTAAAAACAAATGAAACCTTTAAATTGTATTTATTTATGATGACTTAATGGAAAATGTGTAGCATCCATGCAAGCCTAGTCGATGATTATGAACATTTTAGAGCTTTCAGTGGTACAAACAGCCACCCCGGCCTAGATTCTTTTAATTATGTTAGAACAGGAGGGGTATTTTGTTTATTTGACCTGATTTTGTGCTTCCTGATCAGCAGCTTTAACAGAAAGTGTGTTTTCTATTGATGATGTAACAGTACTTAGCATCAAGTTAGTATCAAGAAAAAGTTTACTTGTAACCAAAATGTTGTATTTAGAGGCTGTTTAATGAAATGAGTGTTGCAAGATTTTCTGGTATTTGTAGAATCATTTGTTTTAGAGAAAAGTTTTCTGAAGCTTTCAGTATAAAGACTAATTTTTCATTCTCAAAGAGAAATCAGTGTTGTGTCCTCTACATTGTGGTCTTTGGTATTTTCTCTTTCAGTTTTACAGAGACGTGGTCCTTTAGAGCGTACACATCTGTCCTGTATTTTGACCCTTCTATGAAAATATTCATTCAAGCCAAAAAAGTTCAAACAAAACACCTGTGCTATTGCCTCTACAGACCTAGGTAACTTGCCTTATTTCAATTATTTTTTCTAGAGTTTTCATTTATAAAATTGATATGTCATTAAATAGATATAAATTGTCAAAGTGAAGGCACTGATTTTGACACAGTGTTTTGCATTGCAAATGTTTCAAACTGCATTAGGGAAGTTTGCTGGTGAGTATTCATGTATGGCGATGTATTTGGCAGAAACAGGAGCACACTGCAGTAAACATGCTAATTTAGGTAAACACTCCGAAGTAGAAACTTGCTTTTCATTTCAGCAAATCTCAGCTTTGATTGTGACTGATTGCATTAGCAGATCACAATTCACTTATATTTTCTACTGACCTAATACACTGAAATGTTAAATCATGTACAGTCTTACAGTACATGCTGATGTGTTAGTCAATGACAGATTGCATGTTTGATGCTTGTATCGCATATGCAATCATGTCTCCTAGTGATAATGTCACTCTAAGTACATTCTATGCTTAATGGCACATTTCTCAAAACCTGTCCTTATTGGTAAGCAATGCATGATTGTGTGCATTCATATTGCTTACATATGTTATTTATATTTTAACATGGCCCATTTTTATTTTATTTACTTTTATATTTAGCTTAAGCTATTTTAAGTTTACATTTGCGTACTATGAAATCTATTTTGTCCAGCTATTCATGCAATCAGAATTTTTTTTTGGTGTGATTGGTGGGTAGTTGTTTATCAGTAGACAGAAAAAGTCATCAAAATCTGTGAATCTGAGATTTTTACCAAGTAATAGATAAAAAATCTAAAATTAATTCAAAATTTTAAGGAACTTACTATTTACTAGGAGAAACACAATATTTGGAGAGTTCTTTTACTTACATAATCCTTTGATTTCTTCAGTGACTCCATGGATTAGATTTCATCATCACCATTTTAGGTATCTCAATAAGAATTTAAAATTCTAGCTCCAGTTATTTACTATCCCATATTTGATGCTCCTTGCACTGTGTTACATTAATGCTACATTTTTTCATGTTGTCTTATTTTCCTAACGAGTCATTGCTGTCCTACAGTCTCACAATCATTCACATCTACAATAATATCCCAAAATACAGGTCTTTGTATTGAACAGTGACTATTCACCAGTGGGGTCCTGCAAAGTTTTATTTTTGCTTTCTGATTATACTAAAGATAATCTTAAAAGTATACATAGCTCAAGATTTTTCCTGTAAAACACTATGTTTTTTTCCTGGTAAGCAAAATAATGTTTTCATTGATCTCAGTGTTCTGGAGTACCCAGAATCTACTGGATCAATCATAAGGTGGTTTAATTATTTCTCTCAATGAGTTTGAATAAAAAATGGTGTAAACCGAGCTGGGGACTGTAGCTCAGTGGTAGAGTGCTTTAAAGGTCCTGGATTTGTTTCCCTGTATTGCAAAAAGAGAGAGATGGAGAGAGGGAGAAGGAAAGAGGATATTTGTTACCTCTGGAAGAAAAACCAACATTTAAATAAGAAGAAAATAATGTGTTTGTCTTTATTTTCTGAGGAAATTTTAGTGAATTGAGACTCATATGCCTAAATTACTCCTACAAAGCAATGCTTGTCTTCCATGTAGTGTATCATCCATTCCTCTTTCAAAGTGATGTTCTTAGAGATATATTGCTAGAAAATATGTCTAAGGTGTCATATACATATGTGTTTGTTTCCTAAAGGAGACTTAAGGGAACTTAAACCTTTGCCAAGTTTCACTTAGTCCTTTGATAGATTGTGAAATCATGTATTTGATATCTGTGATACGGAAAGTATTTTTTTATGGCTTAGGACTTATCTTTCTATTCACCATCTTTGCTTGCATATGATTTCCCTCATAGATTCCCTAGTGGAACAATCTTGCATTTTCTCTGTGTTTTCACACTTCTGATAGGAAAACCCCTACTTTTTTTGCTTTTGCACAAGGCAGGATAGCTCTAATAGCTGTTTTAAAATAGATCAGTACTGGAAGTGATCCTATTTTTCTCTGGTAAGGTATCTAAAAGCTGTTTTTTAGGAGCTAATGTGTTATTATTTCAAGTTTCAAATCAGTTTTGTTGGTACATTTTAGGTTTATATAATGATCACATTCATCTAGAATATTTGTACCTAAATGATAGAACTTGGTTCTTTTTTCCCATTCCTCTTCCCTCCCTTCAGCCCCTCCTCCCCAATCATTCATAAAAGTGTTGTGTCCATTTTATTTCTTCTTTTTAAAAACTTTTCCCTTATTTCTTTTGTCCCACCACCCTCCCTTGTTCCCCTCCCTCCCCATTTGAACATTTTCTTCCTATTTCACAACACCTATTACACATTTTGGTCCTTATTTACACTTTCAGCTTCCCCCACCAGAGAAACAGTGCAGTATTTACATGTGTGTCTGATTTATATCACTTAGAAGTATATGCTCAGGGTGTATCCATTTATCTATAAATATCTCAAGCTTTTCCTTCTTTATGGCCGAGTAGTACTCCATTGAATAGAAAAGCCACATCTTTGCCAACTGATGGGCATTTGGACTGTTTCCAAGGTTTGGCTATTAAGAACTGTGCCACTATAAGCATGCATGTGCATATATCTCTATGATATGTTGCTTTTAACTCTTTTAGGAAGCATATAGCTGGGTTGAATAGAACATGTAGTCCTAATTTTTGAGGAATCTCCACACTGATTTTAACAGTGGTTATCTTGCACCAGTAGTAGAGAAGCATTCCTTTACCCCACAGCCCTTCCAGCACTTGTTATTGGCTGCTTTGTTGATAATAACTACTCTTTGGGGGTGATGTGGGATCTCAGCATTGTTTTAATTTGCATCTCATGAATGAACAATGATGATGAATATTTTTTCATTTATTTATTTGTCACTTCTATTTATTCGTCTGAGAAATGTCTATTCATTTCAGATGCCCATTTTTGGTTTGGGTCTTTAAATTTGAGAAGTTTGACTTTTTAATTCTTTATATATTCTAGATAGTAATTCTTTGAGCAATGGTTAGCCAAATTTTTGTTCCACCCTGTGGATTGTCTCTTTACTCTGTTGGTAATTTCTTTTTGTTTTCTTTTTGCTGTGCAAAAGTTTTTAAGCAAAATTAGAATGCAGTTGTTGATGCTTTGTGATTGTTCCTGTGTGATCAGGATTTTGTTCCCAAAGTGTTTCCTATACCAACGTGTTCATGAGTTATACCTATTTTATCTTCAAGCAGACTTAATGTTTCTGTCTTAATGTTTAGATCTTTCATCCAGTTTGATTTTAGTTTAGTGTATCATGAAAAATATGGGTCTAATTTTTATCTCCAGCATATGGAAAGCCAGTTTTTTCAGCACCATTTATTAAAGAGACTTTCTTCTGGTGGGTATGTTTGGGACCTTTGTCAAAGATAAGGTGGCTGAGTATGTCTGGAGTTGCTTCTGTGTCTTCTAATCTGTTCATTGGTTGTTTGGTCTGTTTTTGCCAGTAGCATGCTGTTTTTGTCATAGTAGATCTGTAGTATAATTTCAAATCTGGGTTTGTGATATCCCCCACCTTGTCTAACGGCTACTTAAAAGTTATTATTCCATTTAATTTGCCTCTTTGACTGCAGTAAACTTCTGGGAATAAATCGGCCACCTAAAGCTATGCCTAGAAGGACTCTGTAACTCTGAAGTATTACTTTTAACAGTATGTGATACATTTCATAACTATTTTTCTACACTTGTTTAAGAAATAAAATGTGTGGATTCTTGTAGTTACATCTATTATTGCTGTAGCTACTGTGTTTAGTGTGTCCATCACATTCAGAGGAGGACTACAGAAGAGCATCTGTGTTGTGTCATTTTTCTCTTCCCTCGATTGTATTCTGTTTAGCATGTCTATTCATAACTTGTCTTATAGGCATTTAATCCCTGCATAAAAAATGGAGGAACCACTGAGTGTGGTGGCTCACACCTGTAATCCCAGCACTCAGGAGGCTGAGGCAGGAGGATCGTTGCGAGTTCGAGACCAGCCTAGGCTACAAAATGAGCTCAAGGCCAGCCTGAACTGCACAGTGAGACGCTGTCTCAAACAGACAAAAACAAAACAAAAAAAAAAAGAATGGAGTAACATAGGCACCTTTGAAAACTCTTGAAGGGAAGTAGCAAAGTCAAAATGTCTGAAGAACTTGTTTTTGCATTAACATTGCTTTAATATAAACTTACCACTTGGAAGGGAGCCAAGTGAGATGGAATTTGAGTCTCTTTACCTTCCTCACAATGACATAGTCCAGTTTTGTTTCTAGAGTGTCTTGTGCAGTTGCTCAGTTTTTGGCTGGGGATGCTGATGGCTTCACTGGAGCTAGAAGATTGGTGCCCATGCTGGCCCTCAGGTGGCTGGAGAGTGTGTTTCTCTTTACAGAGGACCGTATGGGTCCACCAGCAGTGTGAGCAGTTCGGAAGAACAAAGTAGAACCTTCAAGCTTTTGGAGCTCAGCCTCCAAATCACATAATTTCACTTCTGTCATATTCTGTTGGTCACACAGACAGACAGAGACAGAGACAGAGAAAACTAGACAACAGCCTGAGTTCCAGGAGCTCCTGGGTGACATACGGAAGAGTGGGCTGCCCAGTGTGCTGTGTAAGAATTTTGGGAGAAGATAGTTCTAGAAAGAGAGGACAGTATCGCAGGTATAAAAGGCAGGCATTGTAGGGCAGTGCAGTTGGCAGGAAATGAGGCCGATGGGGAAGATCAGTCAGCAGGGCCTCAGGCAACATGGCAAGAGGCGGTGGCCGTGGGGGAGGAGGCAGCTTCTGAGCAGCAGAGTGGCGCTACCTGACTCGGGTGTTCAGAAGCCTACGCTGGCTGCTGAGAAGATAACTGTTTTTAGGGGGAAAGGGAGGAAGAAATACTAGGCGGCTTATACTTGTGTGTTCTGAAGGAGCGACAGCAGTGGCCTGAGCTCAGCAAGAGGTGAGAAGTGCCCGATTACAGACGGGTGAAGACTAGCCTTGCTGATGGTGAGACACGGAGTAGAAACAAAACGAGG